ATATATATATATATATATATATATATATATATACATATATATATATACATACACATATATATATACATACACATATATATATATACATATATATATACATACACATATATATATACATACACATATATATACATACACATATATATACATACACATATATATACATACACATATATATACATACACACACATATATATACATACACACATATATATATATACATACACATACATACACATACATACACATATACACATATATATACATACACACATTATATATATATATATATATATATACATACACATACATACACATATATACATACACATACATATACATACACATACATACACATATACATACACATATACATACACATATACATACACATATACACATATACATACATACACATATACACATATACATACATACATACATATACACATACATACATACATACATACATATACATATATTAGTGCAATGGTAAAAAAGCAATAGAACAGGGTTCGTCTATCAACTTGGGCCCACAGCAGAAGTTTTTTAGCAGAAGCAATCGGTCTTTTGCACGTGACGTCACGCCTATGCTGGGCGCCATATTGGGGGGGATTACCGTCGTGAGCAGTACTGATAGCAGCGTAGCTTTTCCGAGTTAGCTTCAGTTCTTTTTCCACCTTAAGCCGAGTGTGCTTTTAAATTCAAAAATGGCTCGTTGGTGTTGCATAAAAGGCTGTTCGAGTAAAACAGGACACTTTGGCATAAAGTTTTTCAGGTTTCCCATCTATAGAAAAGACCGTGGACAGCAAATGGAAGATCTAAGCAGGAGACGCAGGTTGGCCTGGGTTGCAGCTGTCAGGCGCAAGGAGATCACATTCAATCAGATATCAGCGAACATGCGTGTTTGTTCACTGCATTTTCATAAAGGTAAGCTGATTTTTTATTTAATGCTTTGTTTCTCTATTATTCTGTGATGCTACAGTTATCTATAAGTACTTTATTTATATCCTATTTATATACAAGACGTACTTAAATAAACGAATAATGAACTAGGTCTGAAAACAGAGCTAAGTCAGATTTAGACTAAAAATACTGTCTAAGTCTGAACTAAACCAGGGCTAAAATAGCAATAAGCCAGAACAACTAGCAGGATTTAAGATCTGTCTTGACATATCACAGCTGTCATCTGTCATTCATCTGTCATCTCTATGTGATTGCAGGTCAGTCAGCTTATGAGATGATGGAAAGTGATGCGGACTGGGCTCCATCTCTACGTCTGGGTCACACTGACGTTAAACCGACTGACGCAGCACGCTATGCAAGACGACGTAAACGAGACCAGCAACGTAACAGCACATCACAGGAAGCTGAGTTAGTGGCGCAGCAGGATGAAGACGTTTGTGGCCATCATGTCCTGGAGGAGGCTGATCTGTTTGCTGAGGTGCAGCTGGAATGCGTTTCAGATCCGACTGATGAATCTGAACAGATTGCTGAACAGGGGACTGTCATCCCTGAATGTGAAGCATGTGCCCTTAAGTCGGCAGAAATAAATAGACTCAGAGAAGAAAATGGAGAACTGAGGCAGCAGGTGAACAGAGTTAAGTTCAGTGATGGCTTTTTTTCCGAAGATGACAATGATAAAGTAAGACATTATACAGGACTGCCTAATCTTCAAACCTTCAAGCAAATACTGTCACTGCTGGTTTCTGTCACAAACCCCAAAAAGACACTTCTCACACCATATCAAATGCTGCTTCTGACATGTATGCGGCTAAGACTCGATGTACCTGTTTATCTCCTTGCTGATCTGTTTTTTGTTTCACCTAGTACTGTCTACAGGGCTTTCAGCGATACTGTGTCACAATTATATACAATCCTGCAACCTTCTATTGTGTGGCCAGACAGAGACACATTGCGTAAAGTTATGCCACACGAGTTTGTGCATTCATTTGGAAATAAGGTTGCTGTGATTATTGATTGCTTTGAAATTTTTACAGAGAGACCATCTAATGTCAAAGCCCGGGCCCAGATGTTTTCAAGTTATAAGCACAACCACACCATGAAGTACCTGATAGGAATTACACCCAGAGGAGCCATCTGTTTTTTGTCCAAAGGATGGGGGGGGCGTACAAGTGACAAGCATATCACACTTAATAGTGGATTTCTTGATAAATTGTTGCCAGGGGACATTGTTTTGGCTGACAGAGGTTTTGATATTCAAGAACATGTTGGGATGTTGTGTGCTGAGGTGAAACTCCCTGCTTTTACAAAAGGCATGTGTCAGCTAGATGCAAAAAACGTGGAGGAAACTAGAAAAATAGCACATCTGAGAATCCATGTTGAAAGGGTGATTGGAAATGTATGTCAAAAGTATAAGATCTTGTCAGGTACAATGCCAATCTCTCTGATACTGCCATGCGAGTGTGAGGATGTAACGCTTTTAGATAAAGTGGTTACAGTGTGTTGTGCATTTACAAATCTTTGCCCAACTGTAATTAAATAATGTGACAGTTACTGTAAATGATTTATGACACAATGAAATGAAATAAACATACAAAATGTTCAACTGTTGTCATAAGATTTACATCCACATATTGAATTTTGGTGGTTCTTAATTGTTACCTGTCGTGATGCAGAACAAAGGTTAAAAAAATGTAACATATCAAATATATCTTGCATAAAAATAAAATTACAAAAGCTTCTCATTTGTTCAAGCCATCTTTATTAAGCAAAGTATGTGCCTCACATCTTACTGGTGCATGAAGAACAAAACCATGTCTCTTCCTGTGCAGGTGCAAGCTGCAGACCCACACAACTGAAATGGAACCAAACTGTTTTACAGTTTTCGTTGTCACAGGCGACCATGTCATCTTTGCTCTCAGGACACCGGCAAATGCACCACACAATATAGCCCCAGAAGAATTTAGGATTGCCCAAGGCTTGAGTGGTGCTTCTCGCAAGCGTTGGGAGTGCATCACCTAAAAAAACACACAAAATAGAGTAAAAATTACTTGTAATACAGACTTCAGAGTAAAATGTTCTAACATCATATACAATATATTAAGATTAATGTGTTGCTTTGAGATGTAAATTCATGTTCTGACTGAGATACACAACCTCCACTTATTCTAACCTCACATATTTGTGAAAATGTATGTGTATTTGCTTGGATTTATAGTTAAAGTATGGATTACAGGTAATATACGTATATGTTTATGCAGACACACAAAACTCACATAAATTAATATGTGTGTATATACACACATACCCAACTTGTGTCTTTAAACTAGCAGTGAAGTGACAACATGTGCATAACTTTGACTAAGATGACTAAGATGTTATGTTTAGGGTGTTTTACCTTTGCTGTGACCACAGTGTTGGTGCATCCTTCAGGTTTAAATGAATATAAATCTTGCACCCAACCATTGGTGAACAGCCCATGAGCCTCCAAGGACTTATAGTTCCGAAATTCGTCAAATGTGTAGGCACTGACACCATTTACAAGATAGCAAATAATGTCCATATTTGTTGTTGGTGGAAGTAGCCCTGGTTCGGACGTCCATGCCTTAGCTGCTACCTCGTATGGATCAACGTTGTTAATTGACGTTAACTTCGCCATATAACGGTCTCTGGCTTCAGCGTTGAGTTTATCTCTATAAGGCTTCTTCTCATTTTTATATTTACTTTCCATTTTGCAGATGTCATCGTTCTTATCACTGTTTACCACGGACTTTGTTTACCTGAACCGGTATCTGCGTAACCCCCCCAATATGGCGACCGGAAGTGCATAAGTCACGTGTCTGCAAAAGACCGATACGGTGTGTACCGCTAACGCCATCTTGTAGCAAAACAGACTGTGGCTATTTACTGCCGCCACGGCTCATCGATCAAATAACAAATCCCGTGGCCAAACTGACCGTGCTTTCTAGTATAAAACCAGCACATTATATATGCATTTCTTATTTAGGTAACAAATAAGCAAATGTGAGATTGCTCAATTCGCCCTGGCAGCGACAAGTAATGCCTTTAAATATTTTACACACGAAGCAACCCTTTATATTGTCATAAATACACGGCGCAGCGGGTCCACCTACGAGGCCTGGTCTTCTTAATAGAGTCTTTCTGACGCCTCGGTGTCGAGTTGGAAGTCCGCCACTCGCAGGAACCTCTTTCTTCTGGCGCAGTCACTTCATTTTGGGGCTCGTTTTTGAAGTAACCGGGATTCTCCTTGTTGCATTTCGGCAGCTTCGAGGGCGTTTCGTCGACAATATCATCTTCGAATTGATGGCCATTAAACGCCATTGAATCGACCCGTTAACAACATATATTATGTATGCTACATATACCTCTTTCAATCGCCAATAGGAAAAAAAAGAGAGGACGAAAACACAAACGAAATCTTGTCAAACCAGTTAATTAACGAGCTAACCGAATGGTAAACCGCTTAACTACACGTCTTTTTGTGTTCACTGTTCACCGATAGAAGTGGGCGGACTTTCACATTGATTGACGGGAGTTACAACCAATCAGAGGACAAGATCACAAAAGAGGTGGATCTTCACGATTCCTTGGTTTTCTTGAATATGTTAAGGAAAAACAGATATCATGGGAAAAAAAGTGCAGCAAACATTTCAATTCAGTTTACTGTAAGTACTGTATTTATATTGCGAAGTCACAACGGAAGTCATCTCAGAACAGAAACATGTGACGTCAATTTAAGATGTAAACTTTAAAAACGGCTTAAATGGCTAGATTGGATGGATGATGGATGCATAGAAAGACATTATTAGGCCTGAGTAGCGAAGCGCTGCGAAGGCCTATTGTAATCGCTCTATTCAGGCCCAAGCTGCAAGTTTTTCCGCCAAATGAATTGGCGTTTTGGGGGCCTTAACATATCCCAAAAGTCACCAAATTTGACGGATGCATCAGGACTGGTGAAAATTTACGGATTTTAAGGGCATGGCAAAAATCTAAACAGAAATGGCTCAAGAGTGCCACCTAGAAATGTTCAAAATACCCTCCGCCTTAACCTTAGTTTGTCGTAGAAATGTGAAATTTGGTAAACTTGCCCAATTCCCCAAGATGCACAGAAAACCCTCTGGCACAAAAGTTGTACGATAAACAGGAAGGCGGCCATTTTGGAATGCCGGCCCAATTTTAACACCTTTTTGACAGTTTACAGCCTCCGCATTTGAACGAACTCATCCTAGGGATTTCGCTCATTCGGTTTCAAACTTGGCCATTTTGGTCAAAAGGCATGGAGGACGAAAATTTATCTAAATGGTGCGTTTCGGAGCATGCTGAAGGGGCGGGGCCAGACCTCAAAATTTGACATCTCGCCATGAAAAACGAAATGTTAATTGCTCATACATGAAAACTGTCTGAGACATCAAACCTTCAGTGATTGAGCCACATCCGGTCCCCTGCAAGACTGAATGGTCAAATCATGACACCACTAAGCCACGCCCCATGACAACAGGAAGTATAAAGTTTTACGTTGAACGATCCCCATCTGACCCCTGTAACCTGATCAGCATGATAGTGTGTCCAGTGACCTAAGACATGTAGGTGTAACTTGCTTTCCAACACTGACAGTTTTGGGTGGAGCATGTGCGTGACGAAGTGAGACGTAACGCCATCGCCATACGTTTGGCTCTAAATCCCACAGTTGTGAACAGAGGTGCACAAAAATCAGTATGATCCATCTTTATCCACCCCTTTAACAGGAAGCCATGATAAATGGCCAACAGCCTCCACAGCGCCCCTAGAACATTTTAAAACCTCAGCCCCAAGCCATTTTTTTGACCGATAATTCTGAAACTCGGTGAACATCTGTATCTTCTCAGGACCTATGAAAAACTCTCTTGAAACTCTGGTCCAAAACCAACAGGAAGTCGCCCATTTTGGGTCAAAGGGTCATTTTTGGGCGTTTCTAATTGCAAAATTTAATGAACTCCTCCTAGGAATTCTGAAAGAAGGATTGCCTTCAAACTTGGTTGATATGCCCTTAAGACATTGGAGAGTAAAAAGTTATCTAAAGCTTGCGTTTTCGTATATGCTAAAGGGGCGTGGCCAGGCCTCAAAGTTGTGCTTCACGCCATAAATTTCCAAACGCTATAACTTTCACACACTGAAAGACCAAAATGCACGAAATTTGGCATGACTCATCCCTGTTGGATGCCCGACAATCCACTGTGGTCATATTTTGACGTCATCAAAGCCCCGCCCCCTCGGAACAGGAAGATGTTGGATGCCCAACAATCCACTGTGGTCATATTTTGACGTCAAAGCCCCGCCCCCTCGGAACAGGAAGTCTCTTTTTTAACTTGGAATGCTCCCTCTTTCACACCATTGACCTAATCAGGATGATCCTGTGTTAGAAAACATAATATGGTTTGACTTGATTTAAAGTGCAAACCGTTTTTGTTTGAGGATGTTTGGGTAGTGAATTAAGAAGTGACACTGTTGCAATACGTTTGGCTCTAAATTGAACAGATTTCAGCTGAGGTGCACAAAAATCACTGATCGACCATTATCCGCCCCTTGAACCTTGGTAAGTGGCCAATAGCCTCCACAGCGCCACCTACATTTTTCCTAGAGTTATAGCTCTTTGATACAAAATCCGATCTGCACCGGATTTATTGTGCGTCATCAGTGAGGACTTTTAGACACATTGATATTGTGGTTCAACATATGACTCAACTGTGCCCCTACATTATTTAATCAGTTATATCTCAGTGATATATCATCCGATCTACGCAAGATTTTGGGTACGTCATTAGAGAGCACTTCTAGACACACTGTATTGTTGTTGGTAACTTTTGACTCGAGTGCACCCCTAGATTATGCCAACAGTTATATCGCAGTGAAATATCATCCAACATGTACCAGATTTTATGTGCGTGATCAGTGAGCACTTAGACATAAGTGCGCCCCCTACATTATTCCAAGATTTAGATCTCAGTGATACATAGTCCAATCTGAACCTGAGTTTTTGTGCTTTTTTAGTGAGCACTTGTAGACACATTGGTATTGTTGATTCATGACAACACTTAAGCCCCACCTACTCAGACAAAATACTGTTGATTATTGGATGACACTTCCAGCTTCGCACTGTGTAAGATATTAGACTGAAACTTTGTTCACTAACTGTTGATTACCACACATGACATGTTGGAAAGTATAAAGGAAGTGCTTGTCAAACATTCGCAACAAAACAGGAAGTCACCATAACTCCTGTCTGGAAGGTCAGATTTTGCCTATACTTTTAAGACTTACAGCTGGACAAGTAATGTTGAATTTCATATTTTTATACCTTTTTATATTTCCTATCAAGCATTCAAATGTCATGTTATACAAAGTGTGTGTGTGTCTTTCTTCCAGGGTTGCACTATGTTTATAGAAAATGTCTGCTAATTTTAACTAGTTGACCTTTAAATATAATCTCATATTAGCTAAGGATAATTTTACAAGTTCACATTTGATAAATTACAAGCAATCAAATCATGCCAGATAGCAGACTGATTAACAAAAATAAAGCTAGAACACATTTCTTTAATTTAGACAATATAGTTTGACTAAATAAGATCCCTCAGGATCTCTCTTAATAATAACCATTAACATTTAATCATTGTTGAATACAGGGTCGGTTTAGCTGAGAGGACACAGGGTTAATTGTCACAGTAAGCTACAACAGCAGAAGTATAAAAAAGATCAAGTAAGAACACGCAAACATGAGTTAGATAACAATTAATAGTTATTAATTATTCCTAGAAATAAACAACTTTAACTCAAATCATTTGGTATCACTAAGGTATAATCACGTTAAACAAACAGCTAAAACGAACAATTTCAGTGAGACAGAACTTCTTATCTGAAATGTAGATATTAACGTCCTTGATGGGGCGGGCTAGAGTCGTAACCCTAGCAACAGAAGCTAAACCAATCAGAAAGCTAGCCTTCTCAAACTGTGATAAAAGGCC